GGGAATAAGTGGTTACTATAATGGATGGATTGATGGAATTTGTATGTGAACAGAGACTTCAACATACAGCGCACTTTACCTGCACATAAACTGAAAGTGAAAGGAAACGCGCCTGTTATTCATCAGAACCATTCTGCCTGTGCATAGCCTCTGATGTCAGTTGGTCATTTGACTACATTTTCCTATTGACCTGGCAATAAGGCTGCCGGATCAGCATAAGATGTGTGTGTGTTTACCTGTTAAGGTAAGAAAGAAATGTATTGCCACTGGATGTAAAAACTTGGTGAAAGTCAGGCCAGCTAAAAAAAAAATACAACAAAAAACAAGGAAGGGCATAATAATTCATCCTTGCTTAGGCGCACACAGACACAAATACGCCCCAAAATAATTTCCCCTGTCTGCCACTGCCATGCTGCAGTGGTTCCTGGGTTAGTTTGCATATCAGCCCTGACATAAGTGGGAGATACTGTATGGTGTCCGAGGACAGTGAGTGTGGAGTTGGAAAGTGATACTGCCACCTTGTCTGGTTAGCTAAATACACACTCAAGACACATTCGGGCCTGCCAGCTTGTTCGAGCTTCTTAGTTACAAGTTATCAAGACGGAGTGCGTTGTAACTCCAGAAAGCAGTGACCACGAAAATCTCACAGGACAACAACAGCAGGCTGAAGTCAAACTGTTTGGCTTGAGAATCTCTCCAAAGGGGCTGTGGAAACCCATTAAATGTCATTGGTCCTAAAGCATAAGCTGCATTTCTTAATGTAAACATTTTCATATTTGTTTATTCCAAGTAGTCACGGTGGATCAAGAGAAGGTTCCATGAGCACAAGCCTCAAAATTAGGAAAGTAGTCAAGTAAAACACTGTAAACACCAGAAACATCAGGGAAAAAAACAACTCACTGGAATATCTTGCGGGTTAGAGGCATGTTTATGTGAGGACAGTAGCTTAATTGACCTGACCTACATTTAAATGTTGAGAAAGGCCTAAACAGAGATATAGGGATTAAAAAACATTTAAAATCACCAATTAAGCCAATGTCTATGCTCTTAGACGGTGTCAGAAACCAGACTACCAACCTTTAGTACAACTGGATGTAAGGATAATCTAAATAATGTGTGGCTGACATGAGAACATGTCCTTCCTAAAAGTTCTCTTTCCATTAGCATTCAGTCAACTTGAAAACCTCTAATTGAGGCCGGGTCTTATCATTCAGTCAGGAACCTTATCAAGAAGGTGTCCCCCAAACTCTCTGTCTTGTTGGAACTAAGATGTTGGAACAAGGCTAACAAGGATGTATCAATGCACATTGACATGTATCGAATGGCTTAAAAGGGTATCCTGGTGAAACCCTGGTATGACTTATGATCCTGAGGAATTCTGCTGTGCAAAAAAGCAAAGACTGAGACGAACAAACACTTACTTACAGTAAATGTTAACACCTGCTAAAAAAAACAAGTCTCAGCGCGTTTTACTGTGTCGGGATGCCGATGACGCGCTCCTTGGTTCGTTGACGTGCTCAGCCCGGAGGTCCTTAGGCGCCTTTGCACAGAGACCGTTGGTGCCTGGGAGAGCTCGCTAGGAACTCCGTCCAGAGGGTAAAAACAAGTGCTTCGCATCGCGCCAAAGCTTGTATGTGGTACACATTAAGCTTTATTTCTGCAAACAAAATTCTCACAATGAGAGAGTTTTCACTCTTCCTTGAGTAAAGGGCGTATGGGTGTTACATGGGCATGCAATATTTGTTCTTGTCATCCAATTTTGTCACTATTTAACCGCTATTAGCTTTAGAAGCACCTGTCAAAAGGCACAAACTAGCAATTTCTAGAGAGGGGCAGAGAAGTGAACCACAGGATGTAGACGCCTCAGTCAAATTCAGTGGAGGGTGGTTAAAAATAAACTCTCTCCAAGACCCACATGACTAGAAGAGATCAGTGATGCATGCACGTTAATAGCAGATTGTGAGAGGCAGGAAAGGGAGCAAAGACCAGATTTTCTTTTCTTTTTTTCCTTTAATTATCAGCCCAACAATTCGACCCCATCGACCAAACGGCATGTTTGATGGCATTCAATTCAGGGTTTCAATTTCATTCCACCTTTTTTTTTTTTTCCCCCCATCAAACGGCATCCTTATCCTGTCAGGATCTGGGAGTCTCTCAGGTTTAGCTGTCTTACTGTTTGCCTCTGAGCCTTAACACTTATTCTAGCACGAGGTCAGGGCTGAGGGTGTGGCCTGCTGCCACTATTCCAAAAGTTTGAGGAACTGGAGGCGACAGAAAATGTGTGATCTCTGATAGGGGCAGCAATGCATTGAGATGTGTGCTAGCATCTATGTAAATGCAGTAAAAAAAAGTCAATATCTTTAGGAGTTTTAGCAGCTTTGGAAAGAGAAACGACTGAACCCCGAGTACTGATGGAGAACTCTGAGACGCAGATACCAAGTTCTTCTAGGACCCGGCTAGCTGGGGGCAGTCTTGTCTGTTCGAATTCCCTTCACTCTCCATTCCGTCTCCCCATTAACGCAAAAAGAGGGACAGCTTGCCTCATCCCGCCGATGGTAACTTATGAATGCGTGCATATATCATTCGCTTACACAATCAGCATCAAAAGGCCCACGCCCACACACAGGCCTAGCCACACGGTGCGTGCATGCATGCACAAAGCAGCCCATATGCAGGGTCTCGCTTTCCCGGAGACACAGGGCTGCACGCATCACACAAAAGGGGCCAGAGACATGAGTAATTTAGCACACTGTGACACTTTCACGGTCTAATTAGCCCCAGTGTTGCAGTAAACACGCCCCAATGACCCTACAGTTCTGGTTACTCATCAACTATGGATGGGGCTGAAGATGGTCGGCCTCTCGCATCCTGTCAGGACCGTTACCGTGGCAGCCCCCCAGAACCATCCAGAACCCCAGGATAGGGGCCCGATTCAACAAGCACAGGGACTCGATCAGACTGAACAAAAAAGGGAACTCTCCCACCCGTCGCTGCTCTTCCCTTCCCGAGGAGGACTTATTACCATGTAATTATCATTCCTGAACATATTTGTACTCGTTATGCCGCACGCTGGAAAGGAAAGCGCAGGGCAGATTCGAGGAGAGGGCTAGAGGGATGCTCCGCCGCATCCGCATCTGCCGTTTGACGCGGCGGCGGCGGGGATTTTCCTCCTCCTCTCGCGCAATCGTGTCGCAGCGGCGAACGTGGCCAGCGAGCAGTGATCAAACTGTGCTTTCATCCCCCCTCCTCTCTCTCTCTCTCTCTCTCTCATCAGCTGGAAGGCTTCAGCAGCAGGGTGCCCCAGTTTAACAAACCTACCCCCCCCCTCCTCCCTCCTCCTCCTCCTCCTCCTCCTCCCCCCATCCAGTGCAGAGGATGCTGCCTCGGTTTCACGCAGCTCTGCTGACACCTTCTGGCTAGAGTAGTGTTTTTCAACCTTTTTTGAGCCATGGTACATTTTTTCATAGAAAAAGTCCAGAGGCACACCACCAAGCAAAAATGTTAAACAACTCTGTAGCCGCCTATAGTAACCCTATAGTTATTCTTATCTTAAGTGTCTTGAATAGGAATCAAATAAACACAAAAATGTATTTTTATCATATTTATATTTCTTCTTTCAAATTGCACTTAACATGTCCACTTCAATATACAAAACTATATCCAAAATCTATTCATAAGGAATTATTACATGATTATGCCACCAGTCACTAGAACAGCACAGACACTCAAAAATGGCATTTTAATTGCAGATAATTAATTCCTTATCAGAAAATCTTTTTAGACCAATGACGTGAAATAGGATGATTTTCTACGGCATACCTGACTATCACTCGCAGCACACTTGCGTACTGAGACACGGTGGTTGAAAAACACTGGGCTAGGGGACGGACATCGCAACGCAAAAGGACCAAAGAGGCAAGAGTTGGTTTGAAGGCGAGTATTTGAAGCACATTATCTCTTTTTTAATTAAAATAAAAAAAAATGATGTCATAATTTTTGCCAAGGACAACTGTGTCATAGACACAAGAAGGATATAATTGAGTTTGATCACATAGCTCTTCCTGGTCGGGGTGATTCAACCAATTACCCCCCCCCCCCCCACCCTTACGACAGATTGAGTTTCAGACCATGCTGCAGCGTTGGATCGATACCTCGATCAGATCAATCCAAAGTTTGCTGCGTCGCCCCCTACAAAACGTCCACACAAATCCATGAAGGAACCGAGAAAAAGCGGCATATCAGTGCGGATCCAGGATCGATAGCGGAACAGGCCGCTAATCTAGTGAGTGGCCCGCTGGCAGGAACAAGCGAGTGAGCTTGAGCGGCCGTCATCTGACGGGGCACGCTCAGCAGTTGTTTTTTTTCTGGCAAAATAAGCCACTTTTTCCTCGCCACAGAGAAGCGCGGCCAGGGTTCAGCGCGTCCGAGGGGGGTGACTTTGGATGTAGACCGTCACGTTGGGTTGACTGGGGTTTTATATAAAGGTTGCATCTGAGCTTTTTGTGCATGGCAGGCCGAATCCAAAAGGATGTGAATGATGCGTTTTTTCATAAAAAATAAAAAAGTTACTATGATTCAAGTTGAGCGGTGTATGACTTAACAAAAAGATCAATAATTAAATAAAAATGCCATGAAAAACACTAACTTGTCAGAGACTTGGAAAAGGGGGTTCAAGTTCAAGTTCAGACTGGGGCATATCGAGTGGAGGGTATGTTGATGATTACTTACAACCACCTGATCTCCCTCATACCACCACAAACAGCCGCGAACTGCTGGGTCATGGATAAAGGGCCCTCTGGGGGGGTGTGCTGTGTGGTCTGGATCGGTTTGGCTCGGTGGGTTGCGGGATGGCGCCTCAGAGGATTGGGCTCTTTCGAGTGCGTCCTGCGGATGTAAAATTGGATTGGGATCTAGAGACTTCGCAGGCTAGGTCAAAGCCTCCGGCTCTTCGTCTTGCTCCTCCATCCCTTCCCGAGTGTCGCAAGGTATCGTCCTCCCGAGCGAGGATGCTTGGTCAGGACCCAACATTTTGTAGGCAGACTACTCCATGGAAACAAGGCGTTTCGTGTTAGTGTGTGTTAATAGGTGTAGAGATAAGATCCCTACGCAACGCTTACAGAAGGTCTTGTTAATATTTCCTTTCAAAGATCATGACTAATGTTTTAAAGAGGTTTTGAGCGACAGTTCAACAGTGTTCCTGGAGTTTTTTCTACTAGGTAATTTGGCATTTAAATTTCAGTCCTTAAACCTGAATCACTCAATGAAAACCAAGGCAAATAAAATCAAAGGATAAAACACCGTAGTGTGTGAATATAACAGAAAAACTAGAACCAATTTGAAAGTGTCATTCTTGGTGCTTTAGTACTAGCTTCCCGTCAAAACTGGACAAAAGAATCAGTAGCAACAGGTCTTGTGGAGTTCCCCCCTTCTCGGAAGAGCCCAGACGACAAAAGCACTGGAGCTGCGTGAGATCGTCTTGAAATAGAACAGAGCAGGCACAAAAGACAGCCAACATCAAAAGGACTTTGAAAGGTCCCTCAAGAAGCCTGGAGACTATTTCTGCTGACTACTGCGAGAAAAGAGAAGAAACAGAAATGACGAAGTCTTTCACCGCCTCTGTGTGCATTGGCACAATGTCATTTTTATTTTTCTGCTGTGTGTAAAAAAGGAAACATGATTGCTTCATAAGATTTTAAAAAGAAATAAAAGCAGAAATGACAAGAGTTTCTGTCAATGATGAAACTTTCCATCATAGTGTGCGTTCCAAATAGCTTTTTTTTTGTAATACTGTTGGCAGGCAGTTCTTTGTACGTGTACAAGACCAAAAATATAAAGCTTGGCAAATTCATTGCAACTGCTAATAACCTTAGAACCCCCCCCCCCCCCCCCCATGTCATTAACCCACAGACAAGTGGACTGGACGGATGTACATACAAAAGTGTACTTTTCCTTTTTTTATCTCTTTTTTGGGGGGGGATCGTAAATACATTTGTATTACGGAACAGTTTTACTGCCAGAAAAAATACAAAATAAAAATAAACAGGAAGCACAATAAGGGTAGATAGTGACAATTATGAGGAGGAAGCTAAGCCCGGAGGACGATGAACTGTATTCAAATGTTGAGCAATGTCTTTACGGCTTTGAGGCTTTAAAAAAAAATTTGGACCAAACATAAAGAGCCGGGGGCCAAACCCGAAGCGCCGAGATCCACGCCAAATCTCAGCTCATCCGACGTCACATCATGAAAAATTGCTTGGGCGCCACTGCACGAATGGCGACATGGCGGGAGATAGAAGACACCGCAAACACCGCAACGTCTTTATCTACAGGAAAGCTTTCCTCACACTATGCTTAAAACACAGATTCAAAGGTCTGTTTCGCTAAGTGCAGGCCTCGAAATGAACTCCAAGTGTAGTTACATGGAAAAAAGAAAAAAGAAAAAGATGAAAAAATACAATAAAATATTAAGAGGTGATTTAGCATATAGTAGATAGTAGATTTCATCAAAACCCTTCGTTTTATCTAACTTTGTTGACAATATCATTCTTCCTCCATTGACGTCTTTTAACCGTGTTGGTCTGAGGTTGTTGGGGCCCCCATTGCAGATTTAATGCGCTCTCTTCACGAGAGGGGAAATTCAAGTTTAACGGAGGCGTATCGAACTCCTGGATCGGGCGCTCCACATTCACGCGCTCGTCGACCCTCCTGGTTGGCGCCCAGCTCGAAGCGAGGTTTCACCGCGTTGGCCGTTCCACTCTTAGCATCAAAACCCCCCCACCCGCCAGCCAGCCAAAGGCATCGTCTTTATCTCGGGAAAGGCACGCGACTGAGCTCTGCATTTCACAGTTTGCTTCTGTTTATTTTTTTTTACCCTTTATTATTATAATTTCTTTAATCTCTTTTTTTTTTTTAAACTTGTGTTTTTTTGTTTTTTTTAAAGCAGCACAAGGATCTCCGCTCCAGAGAAAGAGAAGATATGACACTTTGTGACCAGGTTGACAATATCAACACACATATACATATATACAGTTTAGATTGGTCTGGTTGTTAAGACTGGGCCTAGACAAACTATACGGGAAAAGGAGACCAGAGACAAATAAAAAAACAAAACAAAAAAACTGTAGAGATGTACAATGTATGTCTAGGTGTTTGTTTTTTTTCCTTTAGTTTTCCTTATGAGTGTTTGATGGTGTATTTGCCTTTCTGCAGCTGGGAGATGTAGAGCTTCGACTTGGTGCCGTCCAGCCGTTTAAACCACACCTCGTCGTTGTTGATGGTGGTTATGATGGCGCTGCCGGACGGACAGACAGAGACATGCAAACGGCGTTAGGAGAGTTGCCGCGTGCGCTCACCTTGCGCTACCCATGTGAAACTTAACTCAGGAACTCTGGAAGGAGACTATGCTAAACCAACCAGACGCAGAGAAAATATGCAACATTTTCAGAGCGAGGGAGACAAAATCAAACCAAAAATGACATTTTGTTCAATCTGTATACCAATATATTTTACAGACTATCTCATAAAACCATCTCCCTGTACATTATGAACACAGAAACTGTGGACAATTACTACATTTACATCAGTAAATAATGTTAGAAGGAGATGACATGAAGTGACCTATAGAACTGAGCCAATAAATCTTAAATCTCGTATTTTCAGTCACCATCTTTGTGTTTTAAGAGCCAGAGAAGACCATGCTGCAACATGAATGTGGAGCTGTAGATCGATCACTGAATGTTTCCATAAAGACTTGGTTTGATTTTTCAGCCAGTAATGACAAACTTTGTTTTCGTGTGGCCACACTGCAATTTCCCATGTTCTTCTAAAAATAGAACTTTAAAAAAATCATACAGAGGCTGTTTTGTAATAAAAACAGAGGAAAATCAGTGTTTGTTTTTTCATTTTCCTGGAACCGCTACAGAATTCTGAAATGCCATTTTCAACCAATTTTCCAGGCCGACCGGGGTTTCTAAATGGAGACTGGTCATCTTGAATGACTGCAAACCGGATTCATGTACAAACATGTGCCTCAGACAAAACACGAGCAGCCTCTTTACGTGTCAGTTTGGGCGCATCTGCCGTCAATCAGAGGAGACTGCACTTTTCCCCAGAGGGCTTGCCTAAAAGAGACAGCGGGCTACAACTGAGTGTTTTGGACAGATGGTGCCAAACATACCCCTCAACAAAAATTGAGCAGCCTGTGAATGAGCATCATATGGGGGCTCTCAATGACCCGATACTGGAGGGGTGCGCGATAGTACAATTTTTGAGTGGAGAGCGGCTTTTTTGTGTCAATTTCAGATCGAATAAACCTGTAGGTGAGACCCTATGTGCTCGTTTATATCTGCAATACCTTTTCAAATCTTAAGATTGCCAAAGCGCAGAGTTAGTGATTGACATTCCATATTTTTCCATTCGGATTCTTAATGTTTTGACCGAGCAGCACCACAGAAACCTGCACCCTCTGCTTTGGTGTTTTCTCGTTAACGATAGCCGTCAGCTTGCGGACGATAAGTCGAGTCGTCCCATTGGATCTTATCCTGACACGCAACGTTCGTGTGAAAGTGCGTTCGCGCTTTTAAATCTCATCAAAGCCTCCTCCATACCTCGTGGGGTACTCGTCCTTGCGGTTGATGCAGATGGCCTGTCCCCTGCAGTACCACTGGTTGTCGTAGTAAAGCCGGCCCTCCTCGGAACGCGCCACGTGGTGATGTCTGTCGGGCTTCACTGCTGGGGCTGGAGGAGGAGAGTCACAGAGGAGAGAGGGGGAATGATACGGTGCATCCAGCGGGGAAAAAAGTATTGAATCCAGCCTTCCTGCCCGGGAGGCTTTCGATCGCTGCTTTCTGCCAGATATTGACCGAGGAGAAACTCTTACCGTCGACCTTCACCCGGTGCGGCCCCAGAGATGCCATCGCCTGAGACCGGAGAGGGGGGGAAATGAAAGATATGAGCTGAAAGGTCAGATCATAACTAACGTACAAGATGTTTTTTTGTCTTTCAGAAAAAAAAGGAAAAAAAGGTACCTTTCTTATTGCAGTCCAGTCTTCAAGAATATCCAGATCTTGCAGCATGTAAACAATATATGGTCGTAAAAAACAACGGTTGAGGAAAAACACACGAAGAAGTGTCTGAACGCAGACGATCCGAGAGTGGAAGAGAAAAGGGCGACGACGGGCCAGCATGAAAGGATATCGGACACGACCACCGGCTTCTTCTTCTTGATGGGACAAAAGGGGTCTTTTTTCTTGTTTTTCCGCGCATGCAGTCCATCGTTCCACAGCTCTGCAAAGCAAACCGAACAGATTAGACCCAGCTTCTCCGTCGCCTCCTGCGGGAGAACGCCAACCTCATGTTTAACTGTTATTCTGGGTATGGGCAACCGAAATAAACTATCCCTCCAATTCATGAAAAATTTGTGCTCAAAGGAGAAGAAAAAAAAGGAAAAGTTTTGAGATCAATGTTTTGATTGCCACCTGAGGTAATGTCAATACTGTGTCTGTCTTCCTCCAGTCTTCTTATCTTCTCCTCCAGCTCACTCTGAACCGTGTCAAACAGCAGCAGCTTCTCACTCTACAGGACAGAAAAGACGCATTTTCTCAGTTCGGACCAAAACTGATTATCAAAAACTCAACGCGTTGGACCACAGGGTGCATTAGGGAGCCCAGCTTGGCTTTTACCTCCATAACAAGTGAATTTAGGCCCGATACGGCCCCATAACAACCCGGAAATAATGGACACCATTAAAAAAAAAACTAAGCAAAGGCTTTTATAGATATTTAAAACATGCCCGTACGTTCACTCGTGAGAGGGAAAGGAGCAAAGACAATGGTAAGCACAGTGATCTTCTCTTCTCCAGACACAAGCTCTGGATCTCAGAGCATCTCAGAGGAAATGCCTGTTCTGGATATTCCCTTTGATCAAATATTATGGTGTTGAAATGGGGAAAAAACCTCTCTCACCTCCCAGTGTTGGCAGGCAGCTTGGATTTCGCACTCGTATTTGTTCTTCACCGACTCCAGGCACAGCTCCCTGTAGATCCCTGCCACGAAGCAAGCAAACCACCACCTCCTCAGGTACGAGCTCTGCAGAGGTACAACCTCGAAGGAGAGCCCAGAGGCATCGAAAAAAAAACACACCACTTCACTCACCGGCTACTTTGGTCCTTATCTGCATGTTCTCCTGCAGGTTTGCCAAGGGTTCCAAGTACTCCTGGGCACAGCCGGCCATCACTTCCTGCAGCTTGATGTCCACCTGGCTGAGGCGCTCCTTGTACAACCTGGAAAGGTGGAGCACAGAGGGGTCAAGCGTGTCCATTCCTGGGCCCAGACCAGGAATGGACACACAATTGCGTGTCCATACAGAGAGTCCAGTGCTCTATGAGCATCTCCAGGTGCGAGGCGTTCATCAAAACTTAACAAAAGACTAAATCTTAGATACCGTGTAATGGTAAAATCTTCAAATGCTCTAAGGCTGACCCTTCAGTTCAATTTCTCAGTTAGAGATGATTGTCCATCATGTGTTTTTGAGAGAGCAAAGTAAACAATACAGGTCCTTTGACAGCAGCAGCCGAGGGCTATATCTAAGCAGAATTATTAACTTACTGCTCTTTCAAATCTGTGAATTGTTTCTCGAGTGTCGTCATCTCATCCAGGCACTCCATCCTCCTCCTCTCACAGTCCTCATCGTCCATTTCTGCTCATATAAAGAAAACACAGGTGTCATATTACTCCCGGCCCTGTGCTATTCTCACCAAACCACACACCGAGTCCATACTATATTCCCGTTCTCATTCGAACGAAAAAGCACATATTCCGTCAAATATTTATCTCCAACACATGCTTAAGTCGTTATTTAGGCCTGTTTCTCCTACCCGAGCTGTCTCCATCTTCAGACACGGACGAGCTAACCGTGTCCTCCTCGTCTGTGCTGCTGCCGTCTTGCTCGGGAAAATCCACCTCCATTTCTTCGTGGTTGCTTTCTTTCTTGTCCCGAGAGTGGACCGGCATTACGGCTATCAGAAAAGCCGGGGTAAGCGGCGTGGCACGCCCGTATCTTTATGTTTGGCCCCAAGAAAAAGAGGCAGACGGAGCCCAGACAGCTAGCCGGGTAGCCAGCCCAAACCTACCAGCTGGACACACAAACGTGAAGACCGTGAACCAATCACGACAAGCGTTACAGAGTTTGTCCAATCAAATGTTGGTATGATCAAGCCGACGTGATAGCAAAGTCATGGGGATCTGTAGTTTTTTAAAGAATTATTTTGAACTGCACAAATGTGACTTACAGTTTGTGCTGGCATGTGAGTTTATTTAAAGATTTATAATAACTGGTTTTATTTTCAAATAGACTATTTTCAAGAACCCTTTACTGATAGAAAGTGAACACATTTTAATAAATAAAAATCAATATTTTTTATTTTATTATTTCTTACAAGAGTATTTTTTGTTGTGGTTGTATCCTGTAGTTTATTTTCTGACTAAATAACAATAATGAGTATCAAGCATTCCTAGTTTAAAGTTAACTTCACATAGCAACTTGAAATCCTCCAAACTTTAATTTGCTTGGTATATTTTGCTCAATGTTACATTGTGAAGGGGACAGGGGACTTTTGACACAGTGGAAAAGTAAATAAAACAGATTTTCATCCATCTTCATAACCATTTATGGAGTCGTGGGGGGACTGGAGTCTAACCCAGTGGTCAATGGCCGAGAGGCGGGGTACACCCTGGACGGTCCGCCAGTCCATCACAGGGCGACACAGAGACACACAAGGACAAACAACCACACACACTCACTCCTAAGGGACACTTGTAATCCTTCATGAATTACCTCATAACATTCAGACTAAGTACTTGATCGCTAAACTGTCAGCAATTCACTAGGTTGTGAGTTTTGACAACACCAAATCAGACTTATTATTTAACATTTACTCGCTGTTCAAGCCCATTCAAACAACGACTGAAGGGAAAAAAAGAATATGTTGTGGAACGGATTTTACATTCATACATGCTAAGATATTGACAAGATTTCCAACGACTTATGCGCAAGAAAACCTGACGGGCACAATTTAAATCCACAGAAAAAGTGGAGTTGAGGGTCATGCGGCTGAACACAAAGACAAGCAGAACACCATCGAGAGAGATTCATGTGAGCTGGCACCCACGTCAGGACTGTCAGGGAAAGCTGCAGGAATATACCGCGGAGGTGATGGAGAGCCTCCCCCTGCTGAGTGACAGGCGTATCGAGCACCCCGGGGTTAAAGCCGTCTCGCCTCCATGCCCGTCTCTCCTCTGACACACTTGGGAGGCAGAGATTGACGGGCCGAGGAGCGAGCGGAGGCCAGAGATGGGGAGTTGCCTTGTACAGTTGATGGACAGCTGGAAGCGGCAAAATAAGTTGCTGCTTTCCTTGAATGGAAATCAAAAGCAGCATTTAATTCACACATGATTTAAAACATGAAATGTAAACAGATTTGAACACACTAAATCGCCCTCTGAAGTTCGACATATGAGAAAAGCTATAGCTCCAACAGCATTCAATGTAATCTCATTAATTATTCTGGATATTCTTCATTTAATTACTGACACATCCAACCAACACATCTGCTTAACACATCTCTATAATATTTGCATTGCTATGTGCTAAACTTTTTTAAACAGGTTTGCTAGCATTTCACGTTTTTTGACCAATCATTGGACAATGAAGGCAGATCAATGAGGACTTCTTCATTGAAAGATAACTCTAAAAGTGAAAAAAGGTACAGCAGCAATATAGTCAACGCTTCGTCATGTATTTATATTCATGCATAAATTTTACATCAAAACATGAATTATTTTTCTCTTATATGCAATAAAAATCTATGTACAGCTAAATTATTGATGTAACATGTTTTTTATCCTAACCCATTAGCTGACTATCTGTAACAGCGAGGCTTGACTTAACTAGATATTATATCACATTGATTTTTATTTGACAGCTGTGATCTAATATGTCAGACAAAACACTTCAACATGTATAAAGTTAAATCTTTAACCTTGAGGTGCAGGACATTAAGCTGCCATACACACATGTGCCACATGCATCAGGGAGACAACCGATTTATCATAGAAAAGAAGAAAGGCAAAGTGAATTACAACATTATGGTATGCGAAGTTGCTTATATTTTTTGTTCACAAAAGAGATGCAGAATTTACCAATAAAACGACTTACAACTCATGCATTGAAAATGGCTCATCTTTCATATATTCTTTTTTTTTTATCATTGTAATACATTGTTCAATCAACTAATCCTTTTATGGTGTTTTGTGCGACACATTATATGAGTGTAATGGCCAGACATTTCAGTTGTGTCTTTTGGGGTTTTTGTGCATTTAGTTGTACCCTCCAAGGGCTGTCAATCCCATTATCTGCAGTATTTATTTCAACCACTTGAGCGCAGTACTGACTTTTATTTAGAGGAGAGCAGTGCCTCCGGCTCAAATCATTCACTCGTTTGATGTCTAATTGATTCTGGTATTCAGTCTTGGGGAGGATCATTTACATCATTTATTAAAAGAGCAATAGAGAGTATGATTAATGAAGAATGGATTTACAACACCACAAACTAAGATAAATAAATACAAAAGCAACACTTGTGAAAACCCTGTCGTTTCCACAAGAAAAAGAAGTCAAATGATTCCACCCATCACAAGCCAGATGTCTTGAAAATTAAAGATTGTACTTCCACATCCCATTCAGTCATTCCACGGTGACTATAAAACCTCACTTGCTCCTGATTCATAGCATGTTCCCCATCCACAGCATCCTCTACTGGCCATGCTGCCAAATGAAACCTTGAATGTTTGACCTGCTGATAGACTTAAACTTAAACTTTCTATTCAAATTTGTCGGTCCATCTCTGTGTACTTTCCCCACCTATGCACCCACCTGCCACAGATTGTTGCCATGCAGGATGGCGAGATAAACCTGGTACATAAGCTTTAAATATGAGAAGAAGGAAGAGGTTTCGCAGTACGTTTTGTTCTATTTAGATAATGTCACATTAGATCAGATATGGAGCCCTGGTTAAGGGCCTTGTGATGCATTCGGGCAGGAAGTTGGAAATTCGTCGGTAACTCGCAGACCACAGGCAAACGCATTCCACTCCAACTTATTCAAATATAAAAATGTTCATTAGAACGCAGGTCAAATGGCCTGCCACACTACTTCTCACGGCATGTGGCACATCCAGTGATAAAAAACCTTCTCATGGTCTTAAAAAGCACAAAGCCAATACAACGGTCAAGAGATAAAGTCACAAATAAAGGGAAGTTCCGTTCTGCTGCCCGGTTTATATTAAGCTACTGCACATCTCCATCGTTGGCAGCTGGAAGACTTTCTACCTGACATATTTGAACTACTTTGCATTTGCACTCACTTGACCCCATGTACTGGGATACTATTGTGTGATGACTTAACCTACCTGCCCACACGAGTAATTCCTCCTCTTATTTTTAGACGCGTTGGTATTTTTTTGTTTTTTTTCTGATTTCAAAGGACAAAATCATAATCCTTGATGATATTTTTTAAATAAGCCCATCTCTGGTGTTTTAATATGAACCTCCTTGAACTTTGGCAGCCCAGGCAAAGACTCAAACATCCAGTTTTACCAGTATGCTACAGCAAGTTATTAAATTCGGGGAGAGCCGGGAATTCCTCATTCCCTCCCACTATCATTCTTCTTCTCACGACAACTTGTGATAAATATTTCACAATCTTATTTGACCCGTATTGCTGCCTTATGGAATTTCATGCGCTTAGGACATTTTTAGGGTTCTTCAGCCTGAGTTCTTGTATCACCCATTCTCACTGGGCCATGGTCGTCTAATTCCAAATGCATTGCTGAGAGTTAACGAAGAAAATTACTTATATTTCCACTGGCACTGAAAATATTTATCTCTGAAGGTGCAGCTTAGAATGATGTCACCTCCAATTTGAATGCATCCAGTAAGACTATGTGTGGTTTGCTGAATGTTTTTTATAGCATTTGAAATGCACCCACCGTTACAGTAACAGTAATATAAACACAAAATTGCCTTTTTTATTTATTTTTTAAACAATCTATTGATTGAACTTTAAAAGTAAAGAAAAAAGTAATAAAAGTCACTTATTACTGATAAAAACAAATAGCATATTTACATGTAGCATGAGGAAAATGTGTAGAATAAAGCTGTTATTTTACAGTTAATCACATGTCAGAACTTTTTATTGCCGGTGCGATTTCTTCTTGGAAATTCCGCTGTTTGCCTGGCGGTGATGGCAGTAAAACCACAGATTTGTTGTTTGTACACTTTCTGGACAACCGGCTAGCCGCTGAAGCCCTGCCTCCGATCTTTACGCTGACCTAAGCTAAACAGCTGGTGGCTGTAGTTCCACATGTGCAGTACAGAGAATTTTTGTTCTAAAGTGAAAATCGTGTTCCAGAAAAAATATGCATGATCCTTTTAATCCCATCTGTACTGGAAATGAGAGCACTAAGCGTTTAAATTTTGCAGTCAGCTGTGGTAAAAAAAAACAGATAGTAGCCCCATGAAGTCCTTTCTTGGTGAACTTTAAAAGAGCTTTAAAATGTAAAATGATAAAATCTTACGCTCTTATGTAGCTCTATATATGTACTATGTACTTGAATCTGAATTTGAAGAAATCCTGGTAGGTTGTAAGGTAAAAAAAATAGGGCAGGCAAGAATAAACTTTGCTTCGACCTATTCCTTTTTTGGTAAACTGTGGGTTTGTCTATTGTTTTTTTTTCTTTTTTTCGTTTGTTGTTTCTTGTGTTTAATGTGGACAATTTACCAAAATAAAGTGATTGATTGATTGATTGATTGGTTGATTGATTGATTGATTGATTGATTGATTGATTGATTGATTGATTGATTGATTGATTGATTGA